TCGAGGCCAACAACAATAAATGGCAACCTGCATTTTTGTTTGTTCTCCGCAACTTGGCCAGTTTGCAGTTGCTCCGTTTCCTCCCTCGTCTCGCACCCCTTCCCTTCCCCTGCGCATCCCCCATGCAGAACTCGTAGAGCTCGTCTCCCTTCATGCTCCGTTGACCTCAACCTTTCCCTCCGTCTTCTCGAGGTAGGCGACGAGATCGGCAATGGTGACGACCTTGAGACCAAACTTGCGGGCAAACGCGATGCAGCCCTCGGCGCGCATCATGCCGCCGCCCTCGCGCAGGGCCTTGCCCTCTACCTCGACGCCGTCCTCGACGAGCTCGCAAATGACGCCCGCGTCGCCGGTGCCGGCGAGCCTGGCAAAGTCAACAGCGGCCTCGGTGTGACCGGGCCGCACGCGGACGCCGCCCTCACGGGCGCGCAGCGGGAAGACGTGGCCGGGGCGGCGGAGGTCCGCGGGCTTGGAGCCCTTGGCGGCGAGGGTGCGGCAGGTCAGGGCGCGGTCGTGGGCCGAGATGCCGGTGGTGACAGAGGGGTCGGCGGCATCGACGGAGAGGGTGTAGGCGGTGCCGCGGGGGTCCTGGGTCGCGGTCAGGGGGACCATTTGCGGCAGCTCGAGGGACTCGGTGAGGTGGGGGGCTAGCGGTGCGCAGATGAGGCCGGAGGAGTGGCGGATCATGAAGGCCATTTGGGCCGTGGTTATGGACTGGGCGGAGATGATGAGGTCGGCTTCATTCTCGCGCGAAGGGTCGTCGAGGACAACGAGGAACTCGCCGTTGCCTAGCAAGGGGAATTCGGTTAGCATGGTGGTCGGACTAAGATTTGGGGAGAGGAAGGCGCAATTTATGGGACGTACGGAATGCGGCGATGGCGTCGGGGATCGTGTCGAAAGCCGACGCGGGTAATGTGGAAGAGGGCATGATGGCGTTCGCTGTGAATGTTGGGTATCGCAATCGAGTTTGAAGGGTGTCGCCGGAGGGAGATTGGCGATGGTAGTTGCGGTGGTGAGGTGGTGACTCTTGCCGGGTGTTCACAGAGGGGTCGGCGAAGTTTTTAGGGGTCCTATGGACATGCGCCGAGTGGAGGGGTAAAGGTGAAGCGACGGCAAGCAGCGCGCGGGTGACTGTCGATTGGGTCGAGCAATATGGTTTGATCGGTCGTGAAGAGGTAGAAGGGAGCAGATGAGAGGAGAACCCAAGAGATCTGGCGATGTTGAACCTAGTACCTACTACCTGCTCAGCGGGATGCCAGATCGGTGTCGTGGGACCGACTGCTCTGGGCAAGCACGCGCATCAGTGTAGCGTCCCGCTCTCGGCTGCTCTTGACTCAGGATGGCGAGGCCGGCGGAGGAGGGGCAATGGCCCACTGTCCTGGCACCTGCCCGCCTGCCTGCGGCTTTGACGTGCTCATGCTCATGCTGATGCTCATGGCACTGCTGACTGATGGATGGTCCTCGGTGGAGTCGAAGGGACCCCATTGCCGGGTACCAGCCGCGGCTCAGAGGCTTAGGTAACCCTACCGAATTGGGTTCCCGCGCGGCTTCCACCTTTTTCTCCCGCCCCAGTATAGGCACTTGTTCTGAATGATGCTGACCAAGCCATATCTGAGGTGACCAAGAGTTTGGTGATGCGCAATTCGACACCAGCACTCTGTGAATTGCACGCAATATTCCCGCCGCAGTCATCAAAAGCAATGGATACTACGTGGGAACCTTGGCCCTGCCCAAGTCCCTCCTTGTAATTCAGCCGATGCCGAAGGAGGGGTCAGGTCAGATGGGCCTCGCCCGCTCGGTCAGCCTCGGTCTGCAAAGCCGAACGAACGAGCCACCGCGGCAGCCACTTTCACATGGCTCAGGCTGGCACTGTCGTGGCACTGCGCTGCACTGCACCGCACGGCACCTGCTTATGCTCATCATCATCGCAAGCTCCAAGCAGCCTGGCCTGAGCTTGGCCTAGCTTCCTTTGGCTGAAGCTTCACTTTCTCGTCACCTTTTTCTTGTAACACCGGCACGGCCGACCATCGCAACCACATAATGGCCACTCCCCGGGCAGCGACAGCCGCTCTGCTTCGGCAGCTGCGTCGAGCTCGCCCCTCAGCAACACGGCAGTCATTACGAGCCGCGACAGCAACTCCCCCAACCCACGCCAGGCTCTCGTCGACCTTCTCGTCAGTCAACGCTGAGGAAATCTCCCACTTCAACGGTCTCGCTGCCTCGTGGTGGGATCCCCACGGCTCCTCCCGCCTCCTGCACCTTATGAACCCGCTGCGACACGACTTTATCCGCGCCTGCCAGGCTTCGACTGCCGACGCGCCGCCCCCTTCGTCGGCCGCCACGGCCCGCTATCTCGACGTCGGCTGCGGCGGCGGCATCTTCGCCGAGTCGGCCGCCCGCCTGCCCACAACAGCCTCGGTCACGGCCATTGACCCTTCGCCCGAAGTCCTCGCCATCGCCCGCGCCCATGCCCGCCGCGACCCGGCCCTGCGCCCGCCCCAGCTGACCTACCTACCGGCCACCATCGAGACGCTGCCCGTGCCGGCGACGCCCGCGGACCGCTTCGACGTCGTCTCCGTCTTCGAGGTCGTCGAGCACGTCGACTCGCCCGCCGAATTCCTCGCGCGCTGCGCCCCCTTTGTCAAGCCTGGCGGCTGGCTCGTCGGTAGCACCATCGCCCGCACCTGGGTCAGCTGGCTGACGACAAACTTTCTCGCCGAGGACGTGCTCGGCATCGTGCCCAAGGGTACCCACGACTGGAACAAATACATCAACGACGCCGAGCTGACGGCCTGGTTCGCCGGGCAGAGCGGCTGGGCGAGCCCCCGCATCATGGGTGTCGTCTACGTGCCCGGCGTCGGGTGGCGCGAGGTCGCCGGCAGCGAGAAGGTGGGCAACTACTTTTTCGCGTTCCGGCGGGAGATCGCCGCGTAAGTGCGGCATGGCTTCATCCCCATTGCGTGGTCATGCGCTTGGACGACTTGTTTGAGCTGGGAGGCGATGCACGTGACGCGCGGAGAGTTGTAACGTTATATTGTACAGTAAACAGAGGTCAAAAATGCCCCACGGGGTATCTGGGGCGGGAAGCTTCAAAAATGTGTTTGTCACAATAAACGGTCCCCAGGGGGGGAATCTGGGGGTGGGGGATAATCGAGCCAATTTTTTTGTGTCAGACTTGTCAAGGGGTTGTCCATCACGCTATCCTTGGAATCGTCGATACGTCAACGGACAAATAAACGGGAAATCTGTTCCACGCAACCAAGGCTCCCAATTCTTGAAATCATTGTATAGTGGTGTTGA